CTACTGAAATACACTGCTGAGGGGAGCATTATGCAGGTCAGAAGAGGTCTACTGTGCCATGTGTGTCATCTCTCCTTGCTGGGTATCAAACTTATGCTGCAATGGCTGTTGCTTCATAGAGTTGCACTTTAACTCCTTGAACCACCAGAGAGGGCCTTGTTTGCTAATTTTAAAGTAATTAAAAATTGTTCATTTTACTTTATAGTTTGAAGAAATCAAATTATAAAGTAGTTGGTATAGAATTTGGAAATTATTTCCTTTCCTTCATGGTAGTAGTTAAAAATATTAGACTATACTTAATTATTAGTTTGGATGGTTTCATAGTAGTTAGCTGGGCAACCTTTACTCTTGCCAAGGAACTATTGGACATTTATTTTTGCTTGCTGTCAGCTATTTTTTTTTTTTGACAGTTTCAAAAACCATACTTTAATGGGAATTTATCTACAGTATATGTTAGTAGTTCCAGTTAGAATTGTTGGAAGTCGTGATGCTTGTTAACTGATCTAATTATCACTTTTGGCCATTGTTGACATAATGAGTTGTATGAACTGAGACCACTATTTTGAAGGAAATGTTATGCCATATGCAACTATGAGCTCATTTGTGAGGAAAACAACCTATTTAATGAAACATGTTACTACATTTTACACTAAGATAGTTAACTATTCACTTTTTATAGTGAATTTGTTTCACTATGCTACTTTTGCTACATGTTACAGTATAAGACAAAATTATGGAGAAAACCAAATTAATATTATCCATTAAATCATTTTGCAAACTAGAAAAAGATTATCTAATTATTCTAGTAGTAAGGTATTTGGTCCAATTTTTGAAATGTCGGTGATGCACAGGAATATTGCTTCAGAATGAATTGCAGTATGAGCTTATTCAGAGGTTTTTTGAGGGACATAGTTACTTCAGTTAGTGTTATTTTGTACTAAACTAGTTGATGTCAGGATGTGAATCATTTTCACATCCTTATAAGTTATTTTGAAGGTAATTTCCTAAAAAATTACGTTGGTCTTAAATAGTTAGAAAATGCATTTCCATTCTTAATTTTGTGTAGAATAGTTATATGGGCTTGTTAGAGTTTTAAATGTGCAGTTAGAGTTAATTCTTAATGCTTAGGGATGTTTTAATTTTGCAATTACCAGACCAACATTAGATGAGTCATTGGAATCTGTGTGCAGAAGTTACACAGGTAATCATGTTTCCATGCCACAGCATTCACATTCTCTAAAATGGGGCAAAGGATGGGGGAAGAAGAGTTGGCTTTGGAAAAATCAATAAAAATTAATAAATCTGTAACTGTGTTGACTAAGAAAAAAAGAGAGATGATTAAAATAACTAAATTCATCTGACAAAACAGAGGGAATATTGCTACCAATTTTATATAATAAAAAGCACTATAAAAGAATACTCTAAGTAACTATTACACCAAAAATTGAGTATCTTAGAAGTAGGCAATTCCTAATGATACACAGCTTATCATGACAGAATCATGAGGAAATAAAAAATCCAAACTGACCTATGGCTAGGAATCAATAATCAAAAGCCTCCTAAGAAAAACCTCCAGGTCCAGATGCTTCACTTTTGAAGTACAACAAGTATTTTAAGATTTTGCACCAGTTTTTCTTACCAAAAAGTTGAAGAGTTGACATTTCCTAGCTTATTCTGTAAGACCAACTTTACCTCTGTATCAAAACCAAGACACTACAAGAAAACTATAGACCAATATTTCTTATGTATTTGATATAGTGGTCAAATACTAGAAAATCAAATGTAACAGTGCTAATACTAAGTGGCACTAATTCCTAGAATATAAGAATGAGTCAACATATGAGAAGTATAACATAGTCTATTGGCAACATGAAGTGATAAAAAAACATGCCATCTCAATTAATGTTGAAAAAGCATTTAACAAAATTCAACAACCTTTCATGATAAAAACACCCAAAATATTAAAAATGGAAGGAAAGTGCCTCAACATAATAAAATCCATTTTTATTCACTGTAGTTACAAAAGTCCTAACTAGAGTAATTTGCCAACGAAAGGAATAAAATGTACCTAGATTGAAATGCAAGATCACAATTATCTGTTTACTGACAATGTGATTTATTTTTTCCTATAAAATCTTGCAGAATCCCCATAAATAAATTTAGAACTAATATGTGAATTCAGCAAAGTTGCAGGATATAAAATGAATAAACAAAAATCAATTGCATTCTTATGCATTAATAGCGAACAATTTTAGAAAAGAAATTACAATTGTATTTTTTTTACAATAGCATGGAAAATAAGCAAATACTTAAGAATGAACTGACCAAAGTAGCAAAAGATGTATATGCTGGTAACTACAAAATGTTTGCAAAATAAATGAAAGGAGAAACAAGTGTATAGGTATGCATGTTTGTGGATTTATGAATTTAATGTTGTTGAAATGTCAGCACTTTTCAACACAATCTATAGATTCAAAACAGTCTCTATCAAAATCCTAACTGTTTTTGCTGAAATTAGAAAAATCTATTCTAAACTTCATATCAAATTTCAAGGGACCTCAACTAGCAAAAACAATGTTGATAAAGAATAAATTTGAGGTCTCATGCTTCTTGATTTCAAATCTAAATACAAAGCTATTTTTATCAAAACCAGGTATCATTGATATTTGTATGTACATTTGGCAAGTGAAATAAAATAGAGAGTCCACAGTCAAATGTTTTTTGATAAGGGTATCAAGTTCATTCAACAAGGAAAGGACAGTCTTTAACAAATAGATTTAGGAAAACTGTACCCATATGCAAAAGAATATTGCATCTTACTTTATATTATGCACAAATATTAACTCAGAATGAATCAAAGACCTGAACATAAGAGCAAAAGAATGTTGCATCTTCTTTATATTATGCACAAATATTAACTCAAAATGAATCAAAGAGCTGAACATTAAGAGTTAATATATAGAACCCTTTGACAGCAACATGGGAAAAATCTTAAAGACAATGGATGTGACACTGATTTCTTATATATAAAACATTAAAAGCAAAGCACTGGCAACAAAAGAAAACAGACAATTTGAACTCCATCAAAATTATATACTTATTCATAGGAAGTGAAACACAACTCATAGGAGAAAATATTTTTCAATCATGTATCTTATCAGTGAATTATGTACAAGACATATGAAGAAGCTTGACAAATCAATAACCATCAATTAGAAATGGGCAAATGACTTGAATAATCTTTTCTCTGTAGATGTACAAATGGCTAATAAACACAAGAAAAAATGCTTCGGAATATAAATAATGAGATACTACTTTACCTAGTCATTTGACTGTGGACATTTAGATTGTTTCTATGAGTTGCCTATTGTGAATAAAATGCTGTGTGAATAGAAATACATAAATCTTTACATGTTAGTTTTTCTATATTCTTTGCATAAATATCTAGACATACAATGTGGATGATTATTAAAGATATTATGCTGAGTGCAATAAGCCACAAACAAATGAATAAAAAATGACTCCACTTATATATGATACTAGAATAGTCAAATCCATAGAAATAGTTTTTGTCTGAGGTTAGGAGGAATGAGAAATGGGAAATTAGTTTTTAATGGCTATAAGATTTCAGTATGGAAAGATTAAAAAGTTCTGGAAGTGGATAGTTGTTACAGTTATATAACAGTGTGAATGTAGTTAATGTCACTGAATGTTACACTTCAAAATACTTAAATTGATAAATTTTATGTTATGTATATTATCTTACAAAATAAAAGGAAGTGGAAGTCCTTTTATAAAGATCACCGAGGAGTGATGGGTGTTTACTCACAGCATTAAAACACTCATACAAATATTAAATTAGGCAAATAGTGGAATAAAATTCATTATACTCTTCACCTAGATTTAAAATTTATTACTTTTTTGTTTAAATTTTTTTGGCTGGAGTACTTTAAAGTAAGTTAAAGATCATATGACATGTCATCAAAAATAAAGGCTTTTTCATATGCCATAATACTGTAATGACTCTTTTGAAAATTAAGTTATTTAAAAAATGTATCTAATATCTTTACCATGTTCACATTATCCAAAGTTATATATGTTCTTGTTGGTTAACTTGCATCCTGTGTTTTCATTTGGGTTTAATGTTTATTTCTTAATTTACAATTGTTTGTAGCTGCCCTCCCATTTCCATTCTCATACCTACCGTTTTATTAATTTTATAGAAACTGGTGTAATTTTCCAAACACACTGTTTTATGGTCTCTTATAGCCTTTTGACAAACTAATGTTATTTCCTTTAATTTGAAGTTAGGGCAAAAATTATTGTTTTAAAAATTATTGCCTTTTTTGCACTCCTTAATGTGGGCACAAATAAAGGAAAAAATAAAATAACTGTACATGTGAATTTATAAATTATATTTAAAAATTAAAAATATTCTTAAAATTATGACATTGTAAAGCAAACTTTTGTTTTGATTATTAGCTTTCTCCATAATGAATCAGACTATAGGATTATTTAGAGTTGTGAATCGTATAGGTATTGACTAAACTTAGATGTTCACCTTGGTGTACAATTCATTTTTTTTTTTTTTAGTGATTGATTTATTTATGCATACAGAGTTGGGATACAGCCAGAGACAGAGTGGGGAGCAGAACAGTCCGATCTACTGAAATACACTGGTGAGGGGATCAGTGGGTAGGTCAGGAGAGGTCTGCTGTGCCCTGTGGGTCATTTCTCTGGCCAGTGAGCAGCTGCAGCCAGCTTTGTGGTGCTGTACTTTAAACCATTGTACCACCAAGGAGGGAGGGCCTGGTGTCCAATTCTATGTAAATCCTTAATGATTTTGAAATATAATATATTTATTATTTAAGTTAATGACTATATTAAACATATATTGACTAATTTTAATGTTAACAAATATGTGTATTTAAAAGATATTTTTGTATGTCAAGAATTATGTCACATGACTTTCATTATTATTCATCTGCTTATTCTTCTAGGTGGATTTTCAGCAAGATGCTGCTCTCCATAGGGATGCTCATGCTGTCAGCCACACAAGTCTACACCATTTTGACTATTCAGCTCTTTGCATTCTTAAACCTGCTACCTGTAGAAGCGGATATTTTAGCAGTAAGTGAAGTAAAACTGATTCATGTCTTATAGCATTCCTTAAAAGTTTTGGGAATCTCTAAATGATGAAATCTTATAATATGTTTGCCTACAAACATACAGACACATACACTTTTTTGTTACCTGAAAGTAGGGGACCTTCCTCATCTTTTTATTGTTTAATATCTAACATCAGGTTTCATACACAATAAGTGCCAGATGAATATTGTTCTCGAGAATATGTGTGTTCTCAGGAGTATACACACAAACATTTATGTTCACATGTTGTGTCTTGTGTGTGCAGTCTTAACTGTTTTTCTTGATAATTGGTATAACTGTAGCAACTTTGATAATGATACTTTGAGAAGTAGTTCAAGATATCTGTAAAAAATTTCAACCTGAGATTAATATTAATGTGCCAGAAGATATTAACTTTATCTTTGATGACAGAAAAGTTTTTTAGACATGATTTCTCCTCAAAACCTTAATAGTCTTTTCTAGACTATTGTTTTACTGTGCTACTTGCTTGTGTTTCTTATTTCTATGAAACTAGAAAAAAAGAATACACTGTGTGTGTGTGTGTGTGGGTATTGTGCTACGAATTTGTCACTGTTATTGTCTGGTTTTAAGTGATTTGCTTAATTACATTAGGTAATAAATAAAAGGGCCATACTCATTGCTGATCAAAGCTTGGTGTGGTTCTTAGGCCTGGTTCTGCATACTGGAGCACTTGTGGAAGAGTCTAGGATCATTGTAGAACTTGATAGAGCAAGGCTGGTTTCTGTGCTTTTGAAAGCATATCAACTCTAATCCCTATGAAATTTCTCACTCTTTACTAGTAAGGAATTGGGTAATTAGATTTTTTTCTCCTAAAACAGTCTGGCGTTTTTTTGAAATGGAGTAGAAATAGAACCTTTAAGGATCAAAGTTTATTGCTATTTTACTGACTTCTCTGAATTTATCCCCAAAGTCCTTGACTTTTTTTTTTTTTTAAAGATTTTATTTATGCATACAGAACTGGGGTACAAGTCAAAGGTGCAGGGGCAGTGAGAAGATTCACCAGAGACAGAGTGGAGAGCAGTACAGGTAGATCTACAAAGTACAATGCTGTGGGTGAGATAGGAGAGGTCTGCCATACCATGTGGATCACCTCTGGGACTGGGGATCGAACTTGCACTGAAGCCACTGCAGCTAGCTTACAGTGCTGTGTCCTAACCCATTGGCCTCTAGGTAGGGCCTCTTGTAATGACTTTTGAAATAAGGTAGAGAACTTAATGTGCTGAGCAAGGAATGAAGTCTCTTTTTATCCTTTGATTTCTTCCAGTCTCTCTTTCCCTTTTTCATCTTGCTTCTCACATTGCATGCTCTGCCTTCCTTATTACCTGAAATGGATTCTTGTTCACAGTTCAGATCTGTGATAGTCTCAGTAATATTTAGTGAACTACTCTGGGAACTTAACCAGCTGTATGATTCTGATCAAATTACTTAGCCACTATAAATAACTCAGTTTCTTTATTTGTAAAGTGGAGTGTTGTAGTGATGAT